CAATGTCATATTTCTCCATATTAAATGTTTATTATTTATAATATTACCTGCCAAAAATATAAAAACAATAAAATTCACAATCATTATTTAAGAAAATACAAACAAGTACAACCTTTAAAAAGAACAAAACAAAACTTTTTATTATTTTCGATATAAAAGGATTTCAATTGAAACAATGAAAACAAATTGTTACTTAAACTAAAAAAAAATTATGTTTTTAAATTGAATTTTAATAATTAACTATTATTTACTCATTTTATGTATTGAAAAAAAAAATCCAGTGAGATTAGTGGGGGTTTTTTACCTCCAATAATTATGGAAAAAATGAGGAATTTACTGAGACAATCGAGTCTTGATTGTTTTAAAATTCCTCAACTAAATATCAATCGGGGTACCAAATTTTAGGAAAATTCACTGAGCCATTATTAAGATAAGACTATGTTGAATATGTCAAAGTTGCTTTGTAGTTGCTTCAGATAATTACTAAAATGCTGAGTCAGCATTATTTTAATTGACATATCTCTGGAACCCATGTGCATTTTTAGCAAAAATTTTTGCAGTTATTATTTTTTTAATATGAACTGCAAGTGAGATAAAAATGAACAAATTCTGAGGCGTAAGGTTGTCATGGTCTGGATGATTTCATATGGAACTAAACCATAAAAAATAATTTATTGAATGTTATTCAGTAAAATACTTGTACCGGGTGACCACGCAACTGCGTTACGCTCAAATTTAAGGCTCTATCCATGCTTGTAAATATCCGTGGATCTATTTGTTTACAAATTACGCAATGATATCAACACACAAAAATTTTTTTTTAATTTTTACGTTTATTTCTGTGTTGATATCATTGCGTAAACAAATAGATCTATCTACAAGTATGGGTATCTACAAGCATGGATAGAGCCTTAAATTTAAGCGTAACGCAGTTGCGTGGTCACCAGGTAAATAAAGTACAAAATTTAGAAAAGACAATTGAAATTAACAAAATAACCATTTTTAAATACAAATTTAAAAAGAAATAAAATAAAATGTAACAAACCTTGGAGGTAGAATGCCATTTAAAATTTCTTCAGTTTGACTTTTATTTAAATCACCAGATAATGTTGGAAGTTTTGAAGTTTTAGGAGGAGAGGGAATTAAAGGAGAATTTTCTTCAGATTGCTGTTGTGGTGAAGACTTCAAAGCTCGAGACTAAATAAACAAAATTTATTGTTATGATTTTAATAGCCATTTATATTATTTAAAGTCATTTAAGATTTAGTACAAAAAATCATATTTTATACTTTAAAACTTTTACGCAATTAAAGATAGATAATAATAATTTAAAAATAATTGTAAAAGTTTGCTTGAACAAGCTTAAGACAAATTTTGAAGATATAATAACAAAAAAGTTTGAAGACAAGATAAATAAGACTGATTTTAAAGACAAGATAAAAATTTTAAAAAAGTGTATAATGGTGTTAAAAACCAAAAAATCTCAACAAGAATTAGTCACAATTGCATCAAGTGTTGTAGCTTCAAGTGATAACTTCAAGTTCAAGATCATAGATTCTGTTAAATAATTAGTGGTAATAAAAACAAATGAGCAAAAGAAAAAGAGGGGAAAAAAAGAAAATTATTGTATCAAACTGATTTTTTGCAAGAACAGCAAGAAGAGGATATTTTAGAAACTAGAAAATATTTTGGAGAATTAACAGCACAAGTTAGTTTTTGCTTTTCAAAGAAAATTGAATTAAAAAAATGTTGAGAAGCCTGAACCAGTTTATTTCATTTTGAATGAAACACCAGAAAGAAATGCAATTCCATAAAAAGCAAATTATAAAAGTGTTTTCATTTCTCTTGATTTAACTGATGCTGAAAGAATGAAAAATGATTTAAAAAAATAAGCCAATGCTACCTTTCAATATGTATTCCATGGAAAGGGTACTGTCAAATTCATAAATCAAAACAATTCAAAATCAATTTAAGTAGTAAATTTGTCATTTTTTAGCGTATTATATACAAATGCTCTTGATGAATAAAAATGAAGAATTTAAACTTTTATGTGCTTTTAAAAACTTTTAAATAATAGAAACTTGGTTTAAAACTTTGTCAATAATAAATTCAGAAAGATTCACTTTATACAATAGATGCAGAAAAGATGGCTGAAAAGGAGGTGCATTATATGTTGAAAATAAAGAAAGCAAAATTTTTAACTTGCAAGATCAATCTGGATTACAATAATTAGAAACAAAATTAAAATAATAATTTTATTATATTTACATGATCTAATTGATATAATTGATATAAATTAAATATTTCTGAAAACAACATTGCTCAAAACAATACAATGATCTTTTTAATTCTGGAAGATTTTAACTTTTCAAGTATAAAGTGGTTAAATGGATATGTAACAATATTTTACACTGAGATAAATCTACTGAAAATCAAATTGTTGAGGTCTTATAGTATATATTATATGTAAAGATATTTGAATCTTAACTTTTTAACAAACAGAAAACATCTCTAACAACACATTGGATTTAGTTTTTTCAATCTTTTTCAATTTGATTCAAGTTCATGAAAGTTCCTGAACTAGAATCAAGTGCAATACTTTGAAATATTTAGTTTAGCAATAAATATTTAGTCTTACTGAGGTTAGTTAGCCTTAAATATCTAGTTTTACTAAGGTTAGTTAGCCTTGAATATTTAATTTTACTAAGGTTAGTTAGCCTTACATATTTAGTTTTACTAAGGTTAGTTAGCCTTAAATGTTTAGATTTACTTTGACTATAACAATAAAAAAGTTATTTAATAAAAGTGAGTTACTGATATAACAGAAAACTGCAAATATAACATTATTCAATAAAGACTATAAAATCTAAGCTTTAAACTGCAAACTACTTTCATGAACATCTATACTTTGTAAAATAATGTAAAATGTTGTTAGAGATTGTCTACAAGAACACTTTAAGAATTAAAAGCTAATGTCAAAAAAACAAACATAGATTTGTTATTTAGTGGAATATTTCATGGCTCTGTTATTGACCCTTTATTATTGTGGTAAAATTATAATGCATGAAATAAATACTATCAACTAATAAAAACTACTACTACTACTACTACTACTACTACTACTACTACTACTACTACTACTACTACTACTACTACTACTACTACTACTACTACTACTACTTCTACTACTACTAGTATTACTACTACTACAACTACTACTACTACTACTACTACTACTACTACTACTACTACTTCTACTACTACTATTACTACTACTACTACTACTACTACTACTACTACTACTACTACTACTACTACTACTACTACTACTACTACTACTACTACTACTACTACTTCTACTACTACTACTACTATTACTACTACTACTACTACTACTACTACTACTACTACTACTACTACTACTACTACTACTACTTCTACTACTACTACTACTATTACTACTACTACTACTACTACTACTACTACTACTACTACTACTACTACTACTTCTACTACTACTACTACTATTACTACTACTACTACTACTACTACTACTACTACTACTACTACTACTACTACTACTACTACTACTACTACTACTTCTACTACTACTACTACTATTACTACTACTACTACTACTACTATTACTACTACTACTACTACTACTACTACTACTACTACTACTACTACTACTACTACTACTACTACTACTACTACTTCTACTACTACTATTACTACTATACTACTACTACTACTACTACTACTACTACTACTACTACTACTACTACTACTACTACTACTACTACTACTACTAATACTACTACTACAACTACTACTACTACTACTACTACTACTACTACTACTACTACTACTACTACTACTACTACTACTACTACTACTGCAGTTCTTCTGTTTTACTTGCATGTAAAATAGAAGAACTGCAAGCGCAGTGCAAAAAATTTCTAAACTTTTCCATAAAAAGATTTCTTTGAAAAAAAATTCAAGACTTTGATATAACTAAAATGAGTCAAAGTTTAAAATTTTAAGTTTTCAAGAGTGCAATAGTTAAATTTTGTTTTTAATTGTGAATATTATATTCATATTATATTTGTAAATTAAATCTGCTAAAATTTAACCAATGCTACTCCAATTTTAAAACCATGCTTTTTTAAATTTTTGTTTTATTATTCTTTTCAAACATATGTTGATCTATGTTTGAAAATAATAATCAAAAAAAATCTACTACTATGTGTGTGTGTGTGTGTGTGTGTGTGTGTGTGTGTGTGTGTGTGTGTGTGTGTGTGTGTGTGTGTGTGTGTGTGTGTGTGAGTGTGTGTGTATTATAAAAATAACCTTTTATATATTTAACAATAACTTTAATATTTATAAAAATAATTGTAATTATAATATTTATATTCAGTACCATTTAAAAATATAAAGATTTAGAAATCAAATAATGACAATTAAAATTAAAAGACGTTTAACAAAGCACTTTATAAACCCTCCAAGCTTTCGTCACTAAAATTAGGGTGTAACATATGGATTAATTAAAGACCTGTATTGTATTTTATTAGTGAATCACTATATCATATAGTGTCAAAAAAAACACAGGTCATTGCATATAATATATGCAATGACCTGTGTTTTTATTTATTTTTTTTTTTTGTAACATTCTTGTAAACACAAAGTATATTAGGAAGTGGAAACATGAACAAAAAAAATGAACAAAAAAAATCACCCTATGAGATTTCTTTTCGGTATTTTTGCTAACCAACAGTGGGTTATTGTATTTAACAAGAGAAGCATTGGGATTTATCATATTAACAATAAAAAGGTAATAAAAAATAAAATATTGTGTTAATGAGTAATTAAGGTAGTTGTTTAAGAGGCTCCGACAGTGCCGTATCACATTGTGTACAAAAATGTCTATGGCAACCGAAGTAAAAAATTGTCGACAAATTTAGTGTGAAACTTTACACGGAGTTATTTTGCGTTTACAACAAATTACTTGAATCTGAATCATCGTACCTAACCAAAAGCTTCAAACAATCGTCTATCGCTCTGTTTTATTAATTGAAAAAAAAATAGCAATGGCATTGTTTGGGAGCTCAGCCGTTTCTTCTTCGAAAAATCTTGTAAGCTTTAGGGCAGGAAAAATGAACTTAAAGGGAACGACTGTTACCGCAGATAAACGAAAGGGTCTTGTGTATGTTTATCAAAGTGATGATTCTTTAATGCACTTTTGTTGGAAAGACAGGACAACAGGCACCCTTGAAGATGTATGGATAAGTATTTGTTTTAAAAATTCTTTTATTCCCAAAATTGCTTCAATAGTTTCATGATATAGAAATTGTTTCAAACTTAAATTTTTCGTTGCACTAATTATCTAAAGTATATAATTTTTACTTATTTCATATCTTAAATATGATAAAAGTAAAATAAATTAACTCATAAATATTAATTTATGCTTTTTTTATTTTTATGTAAGATATTATATTTATATTATTTTATTATTATACTCTATTTTTATATTTATATTATTTATATATTTATATTATTTTATATATTTATATAGGTACGCGCACTGAAATTTTTATATTGATCATATAGTAGAATGTTATATATCATTAGAAAGGCCTTCAATACAGTATTTTAAAGGTGAAAAAATTATTAAAAACGAACAATTCTAAAAAAAGTTATAACATTTTTAGTAGCAAATTTTATATATATGGAATTGTTGAAGAAACTGTGGTCAAAATATTTTTTTTTTCACTTAAATTGTTATAACTTTTTCAATTTTTATCCAAATACTTATATCTTGGTATCACAAGATAGGTGCACTAATAGGCTACAAGTTTATTTTGGTGCCTGGATGTAAAGTGTATCTTGGGAGCCAGAGGGGGTAATGAAACACAATCTAACCCTTAAAAAAATACAAGTTTTTGTCAGAAATAAGAACTTTTATACACAAAATATTGCCATAACTTGATTCCAAAACACTGCCAAACAAAATAAGGTGATCTTAGAGTTGGCCATAGATGTGGTTGTGATGTTATAACACCCTAAATACAATAATCATACTTCCTAATAAATAATTTAATCTTTTAAATATTTTGTTAAAAAGTAAAAATATTTTTTTTTTACTATAAAACATACATTAGTGATGTGCAACACTAACTTTAGGGAGGGTGTATGTCGCACCGCCCCCCCCCCCCCCCCCCCCGCCTTACCTCCGATAAAATTATTTTTATAAAAAATAAAAATAATTAAATGCATTGTTAAAAATTAAAAATAATCTTTTATTACTATTCAGCATATATTATTGATGTACACATTGACTTGAAATGAAGGAAGTATGATATACCACCTCCCCCCTCTCCCCCACCTACATTAGTATTGAAAATATTGTTGTATTACATAAAGCAATATTTTTTTACTATAGAACATACATTAGTGATGTACAATTTGGGGAGAGGGATGGTTTTCCCCCTTCCCTTCAACCAACATAAAAAAGAAAACATAGAAATGACATTTTCAACATTTTCACATGCAATTATTAAAAAAGAGAAAGCACAATTCATTATTGTTTTACCAGATTACAAGTTGCACTAGTTTACATTTTCTCATTTAAATGATCATATTTAACTCACCAACCTAACACAAAAAAATATATATATATAAATGTTTTGAAACATAGTAATTACTGTCTTGGCTTTTAGTAAATGATTTTAATTTTAAGTTCGAAATGACCTATAAGCTTCATATGTAAGCTCTAAAAACAAATAAAATATTAATGTATTTGTAATTCATGCAATTAAAAATTATAAAATTTAAAATACTAAGACAGTTTGTCTGAATAAATATAAAGAATGATTAATGAATCAATGAAATTTTTAATTAAAGTTAATCAGAATAAAAATTCAAGCATTTATAAGCTTCTGATTCTCCTTTTATAGCACTTGGAGAGGAACTCAATAATCAATCAGAGGCATTCCAGATTCATAAATTTATTTAAAAGTAAAATTTGTTTTAATAAAAAATACAAATTATAAATGCGTTTATATTCTAAAAAGTAATAATTTTTAAACTTACTTGACCTGACAGCTGAATATGTAACTATATAAAAAAGGTTTTAATCAAAAACCAGTTGATAAGAAATGCAATTGCAAAAAAGATTATGAAACCTGGTAAGTTTCAAAACCTTTTTTTTTAACACTTGTTAAAAGAAAAAAGGTTTTGAAACTTACCAGGCGTAGCTCACGTAGAAAGAACTAAAGGTAAAAAATATATTATAAAAATCAATATTGCAATCAATGAGAAATTTGTGCGCATTAAAAAGAGTTGTCGAACTTACCAGGTGTAGCACAAGAGGTAGATACTAAAATTACAAAGTTGTAACAAAAAATCAATATTTTAAATAACGAGAAATGCATACACATAAAATGTAATAGTTTTTTGAATTACTAGTTGCAGCATATGACTAAAGAACTAAAGTTAAACATATTGTAAAGTTTGCACATTAAAAAGTATGAGTTGTTTAACTTACCAGGTGTAGCACAAAAGGTAGATACTAAAATTAAAAAATTGCAGCAAATGGGAAATCTATACACGACAAGTAATAATTAAATAAGTAGGAAATACATATATTTATTTATATTTCTTTAATGGTTAATAAAAATTAAACTATAATAACTTACCAGCTGTAGTCTGTGCATATTGGACTAAAGATAACAAAAAAATTATATAATCAAAAAAAAACATCTTGAAATTGTCAACAGCCAATAAAAATAACAGTTATTAAATCAGTTCTGCTTTACATACAACAACTTTACTAACAAAAAAAAGGTATGAAAAAATAATAAACAAATTATATTACTGTATTTTAAAATTATATTACTGTATATTAAAAAAATACTAACAAGATATTTTATAAAAATAAACTTATCATTGTAAAAGTATCTTGATATTTTTACAAAAATAAGCTTATTATTATAAAAATGTTTTGTCAAAAACGTTATTGGCTTAAGCCAATAATGTTTTACTTTAAAGTATAATAATATCATTTGTATATTTATATATGTATGGTGTATTAACAACATTGGTATCTGATACTATTAGTAAATAAAATATAACGGTTATATAAGTAAACCAAAGTAATGGTTTAATCTTAAATCCTAATCTTTTTTAATATACCATCATTGGTATATATTACCATCATTGGTATATTTAAAATACCGTAATCTTGGTATATTAAATAAAATTGGTATATTTAAAAAACCATAATCTTTGTTTACATGCCATGTAAACAAAGATTAAGGTTTTTAAACTTATCATTTTTTGTTTTTTAAAAAAGTTATTATCATGGAAAACATATTAACTTACTTTTTGAAGTTTTCTTTTCCAAAACTTTTACCATTTTTATTTGAATTTTAATCTAGTATTAAAATTTAAAATAATACAATGTAGTAGTAACTTTTCTGTTTAGAATCCGCTTCCTTCCTATCCTCCCCCGTATTTTTGTTAACGATAAAACAAAAACAAAAAAAAATGAATTTAGGCACCAAAAGTCCTACACTTCTTAAACTATCTGCTCCCAATTATTTTTTGCTGAAATTTGGCATGTGCAAAGAAAATGCATGTAAAAAATTGCCTGAATAACAAAAAAAGCGGACACGACATTCCTTTGACAACAAGTTAATGTGAGAACATCAACAAAATTTTCTTGAAAGTTTTCAGCAAAACTAACCATAAAAAAGTTTATTGATTATACATAAAAGTACTATAAAAATCAGGCCTAACCTTTCTTCTTTCCAAATATAACTTTTGTTTATGTATGTTTCTAAAAAGAAACACCACAAAAAACGTTTGTCTAACCCTACCTAAAAAAAGAAGTATATTTAATAAAGCACCTTGTAACATATCTGCTCCCTATTATTTTTCGTTTAAATTTGGCACATAAATAGAAAATGCATGTAAAAAACTGCCTGAATAACAAAAAAAGCGGACATGACATGCCTTCGACTACAAATTCATGTGAAAACATCAACTAAATATTCAGGAGCAAACAATCTGTTAAAAAGTCCATACATAAAAGTTTTAAAAAAGTAAAGATTAGCTTCTCTTCTTTCCAAAAAGTATCTATGTGTATACATGTTTCTAAAAAGAAACTCCACAAAACTACGTTTACCCCACGCTGCCTAAAAAGAAGTGAAAAAAAACGAGTCACAAAATTTTAGCACAAAAATCGGTTCTGTAAATCACGATATGCGCGTACCTAATTTATATTATTTTTTATATTTATATATTTATATTATTTTGTATATTTATATTATTTTTTATATTTAAATTATTTATATATTTATATTATTTATATATTTATATTATTTTATTATTATACTTTAAAGTTTTAATTTGATTGACTTTAATTACCTTGCGAAAGAATTAAGTTTACCTTTGATTGCAAAAATGAAAATTGTAATTTACATCAAACAAGTTATATGTTTTTATATGATTTAGAATCAGTATAATGTACTCTATAAAAATCAACCACAAAAACAGGGGGGGGGGGAGAAAGTAGAGTAGCTCCACAAAGTTGTACCTTAATTTATTAATTATTTTTTTAAGCAAATTTTTTCAACTGAACTAGGTTAGGTGTGTGACATAAACAGTGTATATGAATACTACACTAGACCACACCGGAGTATAAGAAACAATTTTAGTAGAGCGAAACATATGTAAGATATATTTGTGATACATATATACACAAAATAGGGATAGAATAAAATATGAATATAATAGGGATAGGCACAGTGAAGTGTATATGCAAGTACAAAGGGATTTACAAAGGTGTTAGGGCAAGCAGTCCAAAAGAATAACTCGTACATCTCGTAAAAAAGCCTATCGTTCTGCTTAAATTCAAATGCATAATTATGAAAATTAATTCTTTTTTCAAAAAATCCAAAACATTAATATGTGATAGGGATGTGCAGGCGTGAATGAGATACACGTATGCTATAAAATTCTGACTATATACATATTTTTACTTTTGTGGGTGCACAATTAAAATTGTTATAAAAATTTAAATTTTTCATTTTTTTTTTTTAGTATAAATTTTTATTGCATTTATGTATTACGAATGTAACTTATGTATATTTTGCTCTACTAAGATTGTTTTAAATAAAAAACGAATTTTAAATAAAACCATAAAAGTAAATATAATGATTGCTTACATAAATGCATGTGTAAATTGATAAAAAATGATATATATAAATTATTTTCA